CCTTGTCTTAATGAAGGTCATCGTCGCGCAAACATTCTAAGATGTTCGTATGGTGTTGAAGTAAAGAATGTAAATTTAATGTTTGGGTTTTACATTCATTACATTCCTTGAACTAGCTTAGGAAGGGTTGGACAGAAAGGTCGGTCCGCCTAGGGCGTTAAGTCTTTTTGTTTTTATATATTGTGGGGCGAAATTGCAGGCCAACTTGAGAGTTATTTCGTGTGTGAAGAAGGGCCTCTTATGGAGACCGACGCAAAAACATACCCCCATCCTATTTGGTTACGTTCAGTGAAAGGATCGGACCAATTCAGAGTCCACAAGTAATAGAATGAGCTAATCAATGGTAAATGTAGTTAAAAACTTTAGTTAGTTACATAAATAAAAATAGTTTTACTGGGATACTGACTGGTCAACGTACGATCCACACTTTGCCCCCGTGAAATTATATGTTTCCACATCTTTTTATGACAAAGAAGGGCTCACTCGCAATTATTAACTTGATATTCTGAATGTTAAAAAAAAAAAGAATAATAACGATGGAACAGTCACGCCATCTATTGAACCTTTCACCTGGTAAAATCTATGTAAGACAGAGTGTTTTTACAATTGCTTGAGTTTCATTAATCTAATAAGCTATATGATCGATACATATATAGACGAACAATCAATCCATAGGTGAAGAGAGAAAGCGAGAGAGAGAGAAAGAGAGATGAGAGAGGAGAGAGATAGAGAAAGAGATGGATTAAAAAGTGAAAGAAATAGAAAGAGAAAGAGAGGGAGAGAGACTGAGGGAGAGCGAAAGAGAGAGAGAGGGAGAGAGAAAGTGAGATATATATATATATATATATATATATATATATATATATAGATATATATATAATATATAGACACAGAGAAACAGAGAGAGAGAAAAAGATAAAAAAAGAGAGAAAGAGAGAGAGAGAGAGAGAGACAGAGAGAAAAAAAAAGAGAAAGAAAAATAGAGAGAGAGAGAGAAAGAGAGAAAAGAGAGAAGAGAGAGAGAGAAAGAGAGAGATAAAAAAAAAAAAGAAAGAGAAAGAGAGAGAGAGAGAGAGAGAGAGAGAGAGAGAGAAAGAGAGAGAGAGAGAGAGAGAAAGAGAGATATATATATATATATATATATATATATATATATATATAGATATATATATATTATATATAGACAGAGAAACAGTGAGAGTGGTAAAGATAAAGAAATTGAGAAAGAGGGAGAGAGGGAGAGAGCCAGAGAGTTAGAAAATGAGAAAGAAAAATATAGAGGCAAAGAGAGAGAAAGACAGAGAGATACAGGGTGTGGCATAGAATGAGAGAGAGACAGAGAGAAAGAGAGAGAAGGGAAAAAAGATATATATATATAGAGAAACACGAAGTATGAGACAAATATATCAGAAGCTGAGATAGTCGGAGAAAAGGGGAAAGAATGAGATGGAAACATGTCAGTCAGAAAGAGACAGATCGAAGTTCATAAGGAGGACACAAATATAAAGACAGCGAAGGCTAAACAGTCGTACAGACATACTCTGGTTAAGAAAGTAAGTAATAGGGAGAGAAGTAGAGAGTTGGAGAGTTCGAGACATGTACGTTTTGGAAGCGAGGAACCAAAATGAACTTTAAAATTAAACATATTTATATATATTTATTTATTTATGTAAAGATCAACATCACTGTAATAGGCGTGACTCAGTCTTAGAGTTAACGATGGAATGTTTTCAGATAAAATTTTATCTTTTTTTTTTACGTCGGATGGCAACTTCGTAGAAGAAACTGACATTATTTTTCTTAATCAAGTTATTTGATACGGCCGAGTGCATTTGAACCAGTGTAAAATATAAACAAAAGTTTCTCATTTTCATTATTTCTACAGGGATTTTTTAGTGATGTTAGATTTTTTCATATTTTTTTTAATGTGTTTCTACACTTTATTGGAATCAAACTCCCCAAAATACCAGTGCTTCACTTCGTGGTATAGTTTTTCTTTCACAGGGGCTTCCGAGCACCTGCTACCAACGTATTCCTCCCCACAAAACATGCATCACCCTAATCTCAAGCCACCTCTCTCCCTCTTATTGTCCCAAATGTTCATATCAACCTCTTTGTATGACTGTGCTAACCCACTTTTCCGTTTTCGCTATTCATATCAGCCAGCAGCAAGACGCATTTCACGTACCTAGTTAAACGTCTGTGTTCTCCCCAGATTACACCCGTCTCACAACATAATAACCTTCATGCAAGGTGTATTACAAAAAAAAAAACATTTCTTAACCAATATGTAGTCTCGAAGGTAATTCACTATCCTTTCCGAATGAAAGCTTAAATAAACTGATCCTTATTTCTATCTAGTATCTTGCTATTCGGTATGAATGCCTTAATTTCGTTCCCCCCCCCCTCAACAAAACTGTTATACAAATTACCCTTTGTGCCAGATAGTTACACCCCAGTGCCGTCAACGGCTAACCTGAAACGTTAAAAGTAGAGTCATCCACNAACATGCATCACCCTAATCTCAAGCCACCTCTCTCCCTCTTATTGTCCCAAATGTTCATATCAACCTCTTTGTATGACTGTGCTAACCCACTTTTCCGTTTTCGCTATTCATATCAGCCAGCAGCAAGACGCATTTCACGTACCTAGTTAAACGTCTGTGTTCTCCCCAGATTACACCCGTCTCACAACATAATAACCTTCATGCAAGGTGTATTACAAAAAAAAAAACATTTCTTAACCAATATGTAGTCTCGAAGGTAATTCACTATCCTTTCCGAATGAAAGCTTAAATAAACTGATCCTTATTTCTATCTAGTATCTTGCTATTCGGTATGAATGCCTTAATTTCGTTCCCCCCCCCCTCAACAAAACTGTTATACAAATTACCCTTTGTGCCAGATAGTTACACCCCCGTGCCGTCAACGGCTAACCTGAAACGTTAAAAGTAGAGTCACCCACCCAACCCCAACCCCCCCCCCCCCTTTTCCGCGGTACAAGTGTCTCTGCCCTTACCGGCCCCCTACCGTAACCCCAAAAACCATTGACAACTAGGATATGAAAGGAAAGGTCTTTCCATGGGCCCAATGCAGTTTTTGTAAACCACCCAGCCATCTCAAATATCCACTGATAAGCAAGCGTTTCCCAAACTTTTTTTTTTTAACCAAAGTTCCAATTGTGTTAAAGTGAAATGTTAACAACCCACACTTTATTATTGTTCGTCTCATTTTTCTGTTAATACAGTTTTCGTAGATAAATATGTTGAAAAGTAATGAGTAAATATAGTGGTTTGAGATCTCGATATTAGCTGTAGAAAAGAGAAAGAGGAGGGGCAATAAACAACGATTTTTTCAATTAAGATTATTCCTTAAAAATGAAATATAATCTACTCTTTTTTTTTAATAACTAGCTGGCAACACACTTCATCTGACCAATGGTTTCATACAGACATGAATGGTGCGCCCTACATTGCACGTGATTCCTGGCCAATCAATACTCTGACCATACCAGCGGCATACCTATTTCCTTGCCAGTCTATACTCTGACCATTCTACCCCTATGGCTCTTCCATCAACATCCATACTCTGACCATAATAAACCCATGCCTATTTACTCAACTGTCTCTGACCATACTACCCGCCCCCCCGCCAATTCCCTCAAAAGTCCATACTCTGACCATACTACCCCCATGCCTATTCCCTCAACAGTCCATACTCTGACCATACTATCCCCATGGCTATTCCCTCAACTGTCCATACTCTGACCATACTACCCCAATGGCTATTCCCTAAACTGTCCATACTCTGACCATACTACCCCCATGGCTATTCCCTCAACAGTCCATACTCTGACCATACTACCCCCATGCCCATTCCCTCAACTGTCCATACTCTGACCATACTACCCCTATGGCTATTCCCTATACTGTCCATACTCTGACCATACTACCCCCATGGCTATTCCCTCAACTGTCCATACTCTGACCATACTACCCCCATACCTATTCCCTCAACAGTCCATACTCTGACCATACTACCCCCATACCTATTCCCTCAACTGTCCATACTCTGACCATACTACCCCCATGCCTATTCCCTCAACAGTCCATACTCTGACCATACTACCCCCATGCCCATTCCCTCAACTGTCCATACTCTGACCATACTACCCCCATCCCTATTCCCTCAACTGTCCATACTCTGACCATACTACCCCTATACCTATTCCCTCAACAGTCCATACACTGACCATACCTCTCCCCCCATGGCTATTCCCTCAACAGTCCATACTCTGACCATACTACCCCCATGCCCATTCCCTCAACTGTCCATACTCTGACCATACTACCCCCATGGCTATTCCCTCAACTGTCCATACTCTGACCATACTACCCCTATACCTATTCCCTCAACAGTCCATACTCTGACCATACTACCCCCATACCTATTTCCTCAACAGTCCATACACTGACCATACTACCCCAATACCTATTTCCTCAAAAGTCCATACACTGACCATACTACCCCCATACCTATTTCCTCAACAGTCCATACACTGACCATACTACCCCCATACCTATTTCCTCAAAAGTCCATACTCTGACCATACTACCCCCATACCTATTTCCTCAAAAGTCCATACTCTGACCATACTATCCCCATAACTATTTTCTCAACAGTCCATACTCTTACCATACCACCCCCATACCTATTTCCTCAACAGTTTATACTCTGACCATACTACATCCATGCCTATTCGTAGGCCAGCCCATGCTATCGCATGGCATTTTGGCCAACCTGTTTTGTCGCCATGCGACATTCTGACAATGTTTGCGGCATAGTTATTTTATGGTCAGTGCCAAGCACAGCCTAAACAAAACGTAAAGTGTGTTCTTCACGGGTCGATAACTGTGAAAAGGCATTCATGCGCCTCCGCTTAAAAAACACGCTAAAAAAGACTACCTACCCACCACCTTGTAGCAATGTGTACTGTGGCTTATTTATCACCAGTGCATTCGGGCAAGACGTTACATGAGCTACGTATTCCTAAGCGTACCAAATCACATTTGTTCATTGATAAATCATAAGTGATAGCTAGCAAGTATAATTTGACTGTATCTCGCCATTAATTTTTTTTTTGTTAATAGAGGATCACAGCACGTTCCATAATAAAAGAGCTGAGTATTGTTTACGAATTGCTCGTAGTGAGGAAAAATACGTATGTATACACAAAATAAAGTAATAGATTAAAGTCTAGTGATTTTTTATTAATTTCATTTAAGGATTCGTGTGTGGAGTTCAAGCACATTAAAAAATAATAGGTCTTACGGGTCAAAGACTGTGTGGTTCCTGGAGTACTGAAAGATCAAATCTTTGTAATGAACAGATTGTGGCCAATTTAAGTAACTAGCCAATATATCCTGATATTCTAGGGATGTGTTTCGGGGAAAGGAAAAAAAAATCAACAACTTATAAAGCTTTTTGAGTAAACACTTAGTCGAAAACACTTCGCTTAGGCAACTATTAAACATTGAAGCAAAGTTCAAACCATCCATGTAAATTTACGCACCTGTCAAACACACTGGCATGTATAAAGAATGGAGAGCATACGAAACTATTGCAGGAAACCATTTTTAGTTTTTTGCCTGTTCTCTGTTATTGCTGTGTCGTATGTATTCTTAATATTATATGGCAACTATATCTCTGCGTATCAATCGCATTGTGACCCGATTGAACGTAAAGAAAATACAATCGTTAGCAATAACAGATCGTTGTTTCATGCAAGAGACAAACAAATAACGGATAAAGAATTAACCAGCCTGTATGTTAAAAATATATCGAGTTTATTTAACTTTAAAGAAGCTAATTGTTCAAGATTAATTTCCGGAGACCAAACTTACACGCAAAACGTGGAGAAAATAGTTCCAACGGTTAAAGGATCTCTCAGTGATGAAGACTACATGAGTTTAACTGAAGACTGTGAGACGTTTAAAAAGACAAGAGGTTACATAATGTCAAGCTTAACAGAAGAAGAAAAAGAGTTTCCCATCGCTTACTCAATTATGACGTTTAAAAACTCAGAAATGGTGGAGCGCCTCCTGCGGTCCATCTACAGACCACAAAACTATTACTGCATCCACGTGGATATGAAGTCGTCCGATTCGTTTCTGCTGGCGGTGTCCGCCATTTCTAAATGCTTTGCTAATGTTTTTCTCACGTCGACAAGACGCAAAGTTTATTGGGGGACCTACACTGTATTAGAACCAGAGCTGTTTTGTCTGAAGGAACTTTGGCGTTACAGAAAATGGAAATATTTCATCAACTTGACTGGTCAAGAGTTTCCATTGAAGACGAATTTCGAGCTCGTTAAAATACTGAAAGCTTACAACGGTGCCAATAATATCGAAGGCGTTGTGAAGCGGTAATTTATTTTATTTTTCATAATCATCTAACCCTTTATTTTTTTTTTCATGCAGTTAATTTAAAATACAACCTATGAGTATCCATTTGACATTTTTCTGTTCTTGCATTTGATTTTATTTATTTTTTTTTCTATAAACACAAACGTTAAAGACATTAACAATTTTTTTTTCGCACAATGTTGTTCTCAATGGTAAAAAATATATATAAATAAATATGATATTAGATGCACCTTATTTTAATTTGGACAATTGAAACAAAACGTAATTATATTTCTTATTTTCATTTATTATTTTTTTTTCTTTGATCATTTAAATTAATTTTAAAATATTTATTTATATATATTTTTATAATTATTAATATTTTAAATACATTTTTGTTGAGGTGGGCGGAAAATGTTGTTTGTGGGTTGTAATATATTGTGAGCAATTTTAAAATAAACAAATACAATCATTTAAAAAAAGAAAAAGTTTAAACAAAGCTTTTATTATTTTTTTTGACCGATACGTTTGTAACTCTAGATCACTATTGCATACAGCAGGGTTTGGGAACCTTTTTGTCTGAGAGAGCCATGGAAAACTACATATTTTGAAAAGTAATTTTGTGAGTGTTACGGACACCACATATTTTGAAAAGTAATTCTGTGAGAGCCATACATTATGTTTAACACTAAAAATTCAAGTAAATGTGTGCATTTTGTGTAATTTCAACACTAAAATTTCAATAATTTTGTTTGTGAATTCCTTTTAATAACATTGGTATGCTGTTGCTAATCAATAATGAGTATTCCTAACCATTAATGCAACTTTCTTTTTATAACGAATAATTGTCTGGGAGCCAAATGCAGCAATCAATAGAGCCATAGGTTCCCGACCCTTGGCATAAATGAAATCATGATATATAAAGCAAAAGCATTTACATTTTTTTTTACATTAGTTTTCTTTTCTTTCTTTTTTTTTTTTTTGAGAACTTTTACAAGTTCAAATTAAAATGAAAATGAAATGAAATATGCTTTGGGCGTGACACGATATCTCTTGTGTAGAAATAAGGGTGTTTACATGATCAACACTTAAGATATCCCTGAACTTCTGTTAGCAGCTGAGGACGTGTTGTACTTTACCCCAAATGATCAACGACACCGCTGACTTTTCTTGGCATCCTGCTTCTGCTCTGTCTTATCTTCCTGTCGTGTAATTATTTATGCCCATCTTGTTCGTAAACCGCTTGTGCTCTGTTATAAAGGCGCAATTTAAACATTTTGACCCCCCCCCCCCCCAAATTGTCTTACGTATCAATAAGCTTTTGCTGTGATGTGTAAGGGGTCGTTCGCAAATCATATTTTCATTTTTTGATAAGGCCAACTATGTATCGTTTGAACAAACTTGTAAACAATCTCATGCATTACTAAAAGGGCATGGAGATAGAAACTAAAATAAATGGGAAGAGTAGCAAGAAAACGTTTGTAAAATGCAATAATAGACTGGAAATGTGTGAAATGTGTGGAATGTGTGAAATGTTGGGAATGTGTGGAATGCAAAAAAAAAATATAAAAATGTTAATTTAAAACCCACCATTTTCTCTGTCAGCGTCCACGAATGTATTTGTATGCTGTGAGGTTGCCTAAGTAGGGGGGAGGGGAGGGGGAATGCCGCCCGTTGTAGGTTATTTTTTTTTTCATAAGACACGAACAAAGTCTGCACATGATGATAAATAATGCAGCTTCTTAATATAGAGAGGACAAAAAGACGCTCTGGTCTGATAGTACTTCAGAATACTCTTCCCACGTTATTTAGTTTTTTAAATTACTTTTTTTGTTTAAAATGTCGCCCATGCATTTTTTTATGTTTTCATATTATCAGTATTTATTGATGTTTAAGTTTCCACGTTTACAACATAACCTTTGTTACTTTTCGTGTTTGTTCCCTAATATAAATGAACACAAAAAGTGAAATTTGGACTTTTTTCCCGTCTGCGCAAGTGGAGCGTCTCCGGGGAAACTTGGGGGCGTCCACACGGGGCTTGGCCTCTTCGTGGCGTGGCTGACTATGAGGTTTGGTACAGTTCTTCCAAAGCAAAAACGCCGGCTAAATGCATAACTCCCAACACAACGGGTGTAAGAACGTCGTAACATGATGAATTATTGCCGTTGATGGATATGAGACTTGGATAGTGGTCAAAACAAATGCCGATGATTTTAGCTACGTGGTCACGAGACAGCTGCTCCTACTCCTAGGCAACTGTTTCGTCCAAGCTTTTTGACTTGACCGAAATACTCTTTAGCCGCGGAGGGGGGTGGTAACGACACACCTTTTCCTCCGGAGTGGAAGCAAACCCGCCCAGACTCTCTGGGAAATTCGGTTGGAAAAGCTTTACACGTAGTGTTTGCGGTTGACCGGGGAATCCCCTAGGACAATTGGAGGTTCACGGCATGCCCCGCACGATCTGGTGGCGTGGAACCCCGGCATCTGGCCAGGGTGAAGGTGTGCTGGGGGGGCGGATTAAGAGATCGCAATCGACAGCCCATCGACACCTTTCCCAATGTGACATGTATTGTGTATGCTCCGTTCAATGTGAAGCCCTGAGACTTCCAATCTTATTCAAAAAAAGAAAGTATATTTTTTTGCCATCAATCTTTCTAAATCCCTCGATGAATCTCCGCGAAGTTCTGTCCCTGTCGAAACCCTTATATATGCAGCGTAAGCGCTGCCTTCCAGAATCTACCCAGCATTTGTTTACGTTTCTCGGCAAATCGAGAACGTTCGACGAGATACTAGGACAAAGACAAATCGTGTTTCATTGGTATTCGGTAGTAAACACGATACATAAAAGAGATTAAAACACGCCCACAACAAACGTTAGCGTCTGCTAGGAACAGCATGGTACGGGGAAGTCCCACATAACAATATATATATATATATATATATAGATATTTATATATATATTTCTATTAACATTTATTTGTAAATATATATAAACTTCACATATACGATATGTATTCATATATATGTAGGTAATATTTATAGGTGTGTGTCTCCTCCCCAGAGTTAACGAAGAACGTTGGAATAATAGACCACCTCCATTTGGCTTACGTCCAGTCAAGGGTGCCATCCATGTAACAATCAGCAGGTAGTGTTTGGAGGTTTTGATATGAAAGAGTAATATCATTTTAAAAATTTATATTTATACTCTCATTATGTATCCACTCAATGTCCACAGATGTTTTTTTTTCATACTCTCATCATGTATCAACTCAATGTCCATAGATTTTTTTTTCATACTCTCATCATGTATCCACTCAATGCCCATAGATGTTTTCTATCCCTCTAATGAACACACAACGTTTCACAAAGGTAACATTAATTATCCTTGTTTATGTTGGTTTGAATACTTTTTATGTGTTCATTTGAATAGCATTATTTTTCAGAAAAATCATAGTTTCAAAAAGATTTACAGTGAATTTAAACGACGGTATTTCTAGTGTACATTTCATATGGAGATTTTCAAACAAAACTTAATGTTATTGATTTTTTTTTTTTAAATTGTAATCGACTAGCTCATTGATATTGATAAACTTTTTTTTTACATTCAAGCGCCCTTTAAATACAGCCAATCCAATCGGTGTTTACTAACAATGTTAATCAATCGAGATATGTAAGCTAATGCATGGCTTTGTGAAATAAAATGAACAGGTATATGGAATTTAAATATCCTTTTTTTTTCCACTTCCAGAAGTTTCGTTGACTATGTCCTTCATAACAAGACGGCCCAAGCTGTGCTCAACTGGTCCACGACAATCGGCGTGCCAGATGAGGGCTTCTTTCCAACTTTAAATTTTAACCCTCAGTTGGGTGTGAAGGGAACGTATAGCGGTATGTGGACCTTTCTTTTTTTTCAAATGACGATCATTTCTAAGCAGTGTCAAAGCTAGGTTTTCTTGCGCCCATTACGGACTAAGTTTTTGGATGCCTCCACCCATAGAAAAATAAAATGGACCATGCCGAAAAGGTCAACAAAAACCCATTGAAAAATGTAAAATTGCACCCGTGGGAAGTCCCTTGTCAACCCCCCCCCCCACTTCCTACACAAGGTATTCAGTGTTTCTTGGATATAAGATTGTTTGTTGAATACGCCAGTGGGTAAAGATGAGAAAATATTTTAACAGTGCAAGGATATTTAGTCAAGTTGAGGAAACCATTTTTACACGTTTTAGTGATCTGTATTGTTTCATATTTGCAGTTTGTATGCGACATCCAACGCACATAGCACGATATGTTAGACACGGGATTCAGACCATCATCAAATAATAAATACATTCTTTTACTTCCTGGAATATCAGTTTTGGATAAAAACCTATTTGTGGCCATAACATTAATGACATCGATTTAATTTTAAAAAATATTTTCTTTTTATGTTATTTTTTTCCAATTGTCCTTTGTAATGTGGAAGGCTCTTAGTCGTAAACTTTTTTTTTTAAATTCATGTCTTTCTAGTCCAAGCTTGCACATACCTTATGCCTCTATTTCCTTCACACAGCTTGGACGCATTCCTTCAATTATCATTAAAAGATCGCTTGTTTGAATTTGTTCGGGGTCTTCTTTATATGAATATAAAAGAATTGTCGATTGATCCCTTTAGCTTTACTTGGCAGCTTTGTTATGGAGGATATACAAAATTAGTAGACTAGCCACATTTAACCAGCGGAATGAAGCAGCTAAGGCTGCATTAAGTCGGTGTTCGCAGATTTTTTATTTTTTTTTTATACTCTGATCCATGTATCAACTCAATGCCCATAGATATTTTCTATCTTTTTAATGAACACAGAGCATTTCACAAGGGTGACATCAATTACTTTTTTTTTTATGTTTGTTTGCATACTTTTAACGGGTGCATTTGATAAGCATTAATTTTCCAGAAAAATCCTAGTTTAAGAAAGATTTACAGTGAAATTAAACGACGGAATTTCTACATTGCATTTTTTATTGAAACTTTCAAACAAAACTTAATATTATTTAAACGTTTTTTTTTTTTTTTTAAATAATCGACTATCTCATTGATTTCGATGTAACTTTTTAAGTGTTTGATTTAAAAAAAAAGATTTTGTACACTCCCATAATATCGCTTTTAGGCACAGCGTTCATACAGTATGTTTAACCAAAATCGAACTGTTTATACAATTTGACAATAAGTCTTACTGGGGTTGCACCAGGATAGTGCTAAGTGATGTATGCGCTACCGCCATAATACATGTGATCATTTTTGTGTAGGTGATCCAGATGAAATGAAAGACTACTTGACAAGATATAAAATATGGTACGGTGGCCATGACCAGTGCGCCGGCAGCTCGGTGAGAGGCGTGTGTATACAAAGTACAGGTAAGTAGAACTTCATTTATCGATACCTCAAATGATTACACAATCTGAATTAACTTCAACATGTTACTGAAATACTTTTAGATTCTTTCATGATCGTGCATTACGGTGATGTGTCTTTAACTAGTAATATAATGTTAAAAGACGCAACCTAAGCGTTTATTTATCTTCAGGTGACCTATATCGACTCGGTCAGGCCAAGCATCTCTTTGCCAACAAGTTCTACCTAGAGGAAGACCGTGTCGTCATTGGATGCCTGGAGGAGAAACTGTTCAACGACACAAGGGATGAATACCTGGGGACTAAAACGTTTAATGAATCTTACTACGCTAATTTAGACTTTGTGAAATATCAAATAATTTAATTGATCTTTCTAGTGTCTTTATCAAATCATTTATTTTACAATAAAACATATATCATAGTTGTTGCCTGGTTTTAGAACATCTTGCATGGTATGTTTATTCATTTGTTTATTTTAAAATGATAAAAATGAAATAAGTATAAAACACATGTGCATGAGGCAAATGCTTATACATGTATATGTTTTGGCTGTGAAAAGAAACTTACATATTTCTACTCAAAAAACTTTTTACTTAAAATAAAAGAACTGCCTATAACTTTGCAATATCTACATTTGTTTGTTTCATTTCAATATTTCAATTTCATCGAATCAATGGCTTTGTGGGAACAGACTAGCTATTAAAAAAACAACAATAAAATTCAAACAAACTCTATGGGAATGTTATTATTTTTATTACACTTTTGTTGAGTACATTAGAGTGTAATAGATGTGTGTGCCAGATGCTGCATTCTTAACTAAAAGAAGAGTGTTAAATGATAATTATTTATGCAGGTTATCATAGACAATTGACGAGCGGAAAGAATTATGGGACCAATGAGCGCTAGTGATATTTATTTAATAACAAATCTCAAAATTAATTAATCAATAGAAAACGCATAGGACAAAACATCAATAACCAATAAGTAGAGCTAAACATGACTAACAATCATTAATGTTAAGCTTTCATCTGAAAGCTGTCCCGCATCACTCAGTTGGTTTCAGGAAAAAGGGGGGGGGTGACTAGAAGTCTTTAAGTTAAAAAAAAAAAAATCTTAAGGAACGGGTCAACTAAAAGTGTCGAACAAGATGGAGCGACTGCGATCGATGTCCCTACTAAAGAGACAGGCGAACATACAGTATGATACTTGACAGTTTACAATACTGGTTTCTTTATACAATAATGGCTTATTTCTTAACCACAAGTAATATGTTATGTCCGAATGGGGGCGTATTGCAGGGGGTTTAGGGGGATGGTTATATAGAGACCAGGGTGGGGGGTGGTTATAAAGGACCTTATATAGGTGGTTATAAGGGGTAATTAAAGGATGATAATCACTTTTTAAACTAAACTTTGTTTTATTTTCGTGTTGTTGTTCAAGTGTAATGTCATTTATAATGAGTGGTTCTCAAAGAATGATGGTAAACGGTGTGCATTTTCTAATGAGTGTTTTTATTATTTATTTTCTATTAAGTGGTTTTCAGTATTCTATTGAGTGGATGTCAATTTTCTAATGCGTGGTTTTCAAAGTAGGTGGGGTTCTCTTTGTTTGTATTTTAATATTTTGTTTGTTTTTTTAAATTAGTATTATATAATTTTAAGTAGTCTTCTTGTACATTTAAAGTGTGTGTCAAAGTTTGTGGGTGTCCTTATGGTTGCATTTTAATAGTAATTTTAATAGAAATTGAGACCAACTCAAATGAAAATTACATAATTAAAACCACGCATTAGAAAATACCCACCGTTTACCATAATACTTTGAGAACCACTCATAACAAATGGCATAATAATTAGAAAGAAAAATGAGAAATCATTGTACACCATTACAAAAAGAATTAAAATCATATTACACAATGAGAATATTAATTATAAAACCTGACGACCACTCAATAGAAAATTGAGAACCATTCATGATAATAGTTTTTAAGTAACTAAACATATATGTATAGTTTTTTTTTTCCACGCATTCAGTTTCTGCGCGCTAACCTTACAAATGTCAAGTGGGTGATAGTATCGTTGGCACGGAAGAGAGGTTATCACTCAGCTTCCTGTAGATTAGCCTTAACATAACGACTGAGATCATATGCGCACCGTTAACTTGCCATGGGAAAGCTATAAAAAGCGGTCGATTTAATTGAGCTGCTGCGACTTGGGCTCTGAATGCATTAATTTTGCAGTGCCCTGATTATTGATTATATTCCCTAGCAATGCATTCTTAACATAGAAAAGACATTATAAATCAATAAATATAAATGATAAAATATATATTTTTTTATGCATTGCTTTCAAATATGATAGTCAAGGTATTACTTGATACATATCTTACTTGATTCTGAAATGCATATAGATATACTGGTTAATTATATTTTCAAAATAAAGACTACTTTAAATCAGCACTATTTATGCAAAATCATGTCACAATTTCTTATATCCACGGAATCCTATAAAACCAGTGCCTTAAAATAACATTAAAAAAAATAATAAAATAAAACATGATGGTCGAAGTGTGACTACTGGAGATTCTCTATGGTCATATATTTAAATCATATTTCGTTATGGCATGCGCAACCCTAATATAATAAGTAATTATAATTTTATCACCCATACTTAGAAAATCTTAATTTGAATATCAATGTGTTAAAAATTTAATCTTATCTATATTTATACATAAATATACTGGCATTAAGATACATTGCTTGAACACCTAAATATACTGGCATTAAGATACATTGCTTGAACACTCGATGAACAATAAGCAATGATATGTTTGTTTTATGAACTAAATTTCTATTATTTTCTTTGGCATTTGTAAAAATGGCAATGGCTCCATAAATGAAAATTGCCAGCCGATGTTAATCTTCAAACTGTTTGATCCTTTGATGTTTTAGATTAGCGGTTCTCAACCCATTCAAGGGGTCGCGCGATTGTTTCATGGGAGTCGCATTCATGAGACCACTGGGAAAACATACATTTCCGATGATGATGGTCGTAGAAACCGATTGATTTTGTCCAGCTGAAAATCAGACATGTCAATAATTTTCATTTTTTTATTTTCTTTAAAGCATTCAGCCCACTGTAAAGCTGGAACTACAGTGAAAATTAAAGCACAAATCAGCTCTGGTCATCGCGGTCTATAAATAATGCACACTTTGGAAGAATCAGACAAGTCCAGTAAACGTGTAGAAGAAAAAAAAATCGAAGTGAGCTCCCCTAGTAACCGGTGATGCTCTTAACCAATGGCAAGTAAGGAAAACGTAAATAAATAAAGAATATAGGTCAGATGCCCGAAGCTGCAATTAAACCCAACAATAAATGCCACTTGCGGTAAGCTTAACGTGAAAATAGTAAAAGTTTTTTTAGTGATAACACATAAGGTAAATACATTTACGCTTCAAGTTTTATGTGATTAGAATCAGTGTAATGAGAGGAAAGCTTAGGATTAAATTTAATCAGGTTCTGGAGCCATCATCTGCAGTCCGTTACTAAGTGTTAGCTCAGCATGCTGTCTTATGATGTTGCGTCTCTGTTACTAATTGCCTCTGATGAATGATGATTGCCTGATAAAGGCAAACAATTAAACGCAAAACAAAAAATATGCGCGCGACCTTCTTCGTGTCATTTTTGAATCTGGTCACTGACGCCTGTGATGAGAATATGATTTACAATATATCAAAATAATCACTGTCCATCATTTTGTCCAGTTGCGTTTAGTCCCACCTGATTAAAAGCTGATAAACACACTATGAATATCTCAATGTTTTCAAAGGCCCTTATCTTTTTATATTATTTATGAAAGTCATTACAGTGAACTGATTGATGACAGATAGAATAAAATTGCGTATTTCATGAATTTCAGTATCATTTCAGGGTCATGAGTCATATTACTCAAATGCTACTTATAATTTTTGAAAAAGCTGAATAATAGTAACATTGTCAACGTATAAACTTGATATAATTTACTACATTATCCTTGAGTCATTACACTACCACTACAAGATCTCAGAGGCCTGTACACTACTTTAGATATATTTTTTGTCCACAATGTTTTGAAAAAAAATAATTGTTTGTTTTTTCGGCCCCATTTTGTTTTATTATTAAGAGAGGTCACTTAAGTTTAATAAGTGATTAATAAGAGATGACATTGGCTTTTAAAAATTATGAAGTATAGTTTAATTATAAATTTCAATTTTCATTGGCAAAATCAGATAAGTTACAATTTTGGGTCAACATGATAATAAGCTGTAAAATGTAGAAAGTGGTAACAAAATGCCTAGTACCTGATATATTTCTAAACATAAATGTTATCACTAAATGAATTATAGCATTTTAATTTTACTTGGATACTTTCAAACTTTAAAATTCCCTTTTTTCAAAACCTTCAAAATGTGACAAGTCTGTCTTTTCCACTGATATCCTCAAAATACCATCTTTTTACAGCTATAGTTTTATATTATTTTCATTAGCAATTCATCATATGACAATGGATCGCGTAGAGAAGAATGTTAAGAAAAGAAAATAAAGTGAGTATTATTTACAGTATGGTTTTCGCCTCAATAATTACAACTGGGATTGATCAACCCAAATGTGTAATTTGCTGTGAAATTCTATCAGCCGAATCTGTGAAACCGAACAAACTAAAATCCATTTTGATAGCAAGCATCCGAGCTTTGCCGGAAAGGATACCAACTAATTCAGAAGCTGATGGGCTTGACACTGGTGGCAAGTACCACAAGCAAAACCTAGCAGCCGTTGAAGCTTCATATTTGGTTGCACTCAGAATCACCAGACCCACGAAACTTCACACCGTTGTTCGCGTTACGATTGGACTCGAATTTGTTTTGAAATTGAATGAAATTTCCTTATCTAACGACAATGTCCGCAGAAGAATAGATGACATCTGTTGATATTCTTGATCAAATAATCCTGGAAATTAAATCTGCTCCAATTCCAATATTTAGTTTCCAGCTCGATGAGTATACAGACGTTGCAAACTGTTCACAGTTACTAGTTTACGAGAAGTATATTAATGATAGCGACTTTAAAGATGAGTTTCTATTTTGCAAACTTCTTGACACGACAACTACTGCATGTGAGGTATTTGACACAATTGGTTTATTTCTGAAAGATCATAATATCTCTTGGCAAAAGGTTTGTGGTGTTTGCACAGATGGTGATCCAACTAGGCTAGGGTGTCTATCTGGATTTTAACGTACGGTACTGAGTGAGTCAGCAAAAGTCATCGGAAATCACTGATCTATTCATCGTCAAATATTAGCAACAAAGACGTTGCCACAAGAGTTTACAAGAAGTTACTTAAAATCATATTACACAATGAAAGCGTCATAAGTTCTGTCAATTGTGTAAAGGCGAGCACTTTAAATAGTCGACTGTTCTTGCAACAGTGCAACGATTTGGATGCTCTGAACAATGATCTGATATTTCACACTGATGTGAGATGGTTGTCTAGAGGAAAAGTTTTCAAACGTGTTTTTGGGCTTCGTTTTAATCAGAAAGCAAGACCGCAGTTCGAAGCACTTTTTAGTGATAAAATTGAACAACAGAAAAGAGCTTACTTGGTTGACATATTTGCCATCTTGAATGAGTCAAATTTATCACTGCAAGGACCAAATGCAACATGGCTCGATGTGTCTGAATAATGCGATCATTACTAATAAAACTTCAGATTTTGCAAAAAAAAGTTGGATGAAAAATAAAATTTACATGCTGCCTATCAAATCTGCTTTCTTTGAAGAACATAACATTGAACCAGAAAAAAGACTTGCGATGATACATTCTGTGAAAGAACACTTGCACTTGCTTGCCGACGAAATTTCATCGTACTTTCCAAATCTACCTGACACCCCATTTGCTCTTGACAGATGCCCTATCACAGTCAAAGTTGAATATGTTCCTGAGTCAACACAAGAGGAGTTCATTGAAATTATTAACAGCGATCCAGCGAGAACTGATTTTTCTACAATGCCAGTTACTAATTCC